CCTAGCTTTTCCCGTTCTCGGGTTAGTGACTTTCGCGCCAAAATTTTCACATGCCCGTACGTGAGCCCCTGACAGTCCTGAGGAGCTGAGTTTGAAGGCTTTTGGTCGTGCACGAGTATGGAACATTTCCCCAAAATTTAACTTTCCAGCCTTTCTCATTCCCGAGTTATGAATTTTCTCGCCATAATTTTCACGTGCCCGTACGTAAGTCCTGGGCACTCCTGGGCAGCTGAATTTGAAACCTTTTTGTCATACATGGGTAGGGAACATTCTCCCAAGGTTTCAGCTTTCTAGCTTTTCTCGTTCCCGAGTTAGCGATTTTCGCGCCCGTGGGGAACATTCTCCCAAGGTTTCAGCTTTCTAGCTTTTCTCGTTCCCGAGTTAGCGGTTTTCGCGCCAAAACTTTCAGTGCTCGTACGTGGGGCCCAGACGTGCGTGAGGGTTGAAACTGCGGTCCTGGGGTGTTACCTGGCTGGGGAACACACTCGCCCGTACGCGGGGCCCAGACGTGTGTGAGGGTTGAAACTGCGATCCTGGATGGTACCTGACTAAGAGTTTCAGCTTTCTAGCTTTTCTCGTTCCCGAGCTAGCGATTTTCGCGCCAAAACTTTCACGTGCTAGTACTGCCGGGGCCCAGACATGTGTGAGGGTTGAAACTGCGATCCTGGGGTGGTACCTGACTGGGGAACATACTGACAAAATTTCATGTGCGTGAAGGTTGAAACCGCGGTCCTGGGATAGTACGTGGCTGGGGAACACACTGGCAAAATTTCAGCTTCAAAGCTTGCGTGGTCAGCGAGTTGAAATACCCGGACAGACGAACACACACACACACACTGACAGGGTCGTTGCAATATTTTGCATCGCTCCAGCGCTGCACGGCAAAAACGCATAAAAATTGGCCAATGTACGGGCTGCCCGTGCGAAGATGCGTTTTTTGCATAGTTCCTCGCAGTTTTTGTTGCTACCGATACTGGCTTTTTCGACAAATGCTTATAGCTAAACAAATTAAGACTGGCCCCCCCAGAACTGTCAGAAAACACTCCCTTTGAAATTTCAGCTTTCCAGCTTTCCCGGCTCCTGAGCTAGCAACTTACTGGAAAAAATTTTCATGGGCCCGTGCGGGTTTACCACGCACACCCGAGAGTTAGGTTTGAGCTGGATGAAACTTAGGTGGACGGAGTATATCCTCTTAAAATTACAGTCCTTCAGCTTCTGAGGTACTCGAGTTATCAACTTGCCTGAAAAAAACTTTGGCGGTCCCGTACGCGGGTACCACGCTTACCCGGGGGCTGGGTTTGAACTCACTAATACCCACTTGGATGGGGAACATCCTCTCAAGATTTCAGCGTTCTAGCTTCTCAGATACCCGAGTTATGAATTTACCCGAAAAAAACTTTGGCAGGCCCGTACGCGGGTACCACGCGAGTAATGGCGCCAATTTTGGGGATTGGAGCCCGTGCGTGCAGGTAGATTAAATTCCCAAAGTTTCAGCCCTGTAGCTTTTGTAGGTTTTGAGATGAAAAACCGTGACAGACGCACACACACGGACACACAAACGCACAGACACACACACAGACAACCTCTCGTCAATATGCGTTTTTCGCATTGCACAGCTGCAAAAAACGCATAAAAACTCGACTCGGCTGATGATCTGTGGTACTTTGGCCTTTCAGCGCTTTATTCTATCATTTCTGCCAACACTATTTCGCGGCGCCACTCGCTGGAACTTTGCCAGACGCACTGGGCAGCGGTGCCCAGATTCTAGCGGCTGAATCACGTAGCCGTGGGGGTGGTTAGGGAGATGTTTGTTGGTAGTTGCCCAGATACAGCTCAGGGGGCGCGATTGAGGCCAGGATAATGGGGAGGAACGAAGTTGCTGCTTAGGAGTTCAGGACGATAAGCGGTGTCAGTGATTGGAGGTGGTGGGTGACCCGATGCGACTCTGGAGGCAGGAATTGGGGGCAGGCTACAGGAGGGGAAGAAGGGTGCTAGTCAGGGGTTCGAAGCAAGAACTGCAGATAGCAGTAAAGAGAAAAATAAACCAACACGGCACTACAAAGAGGAGTAAATCAAAACAGGCCTGAATTTGTGAACAAAAGGAAAAAAAGTAAGATCAAAGAATTGGAGCCCGTAACCAAAAGCAAAAGCAAACAAAAACTGAGCGTATGCGAGTAGGATTTGTCTGAAATTTTGTCAGTGTGTTCCCTGGCCCCAGTCGTACGCGGGAGTAGGGAGGGCTGAATTTGATAGGTTTATTTTGCTACCTATTCCAACTACTGTTCTGGAAGGTGGGTCCCGTGGCTGTTCTGGGATGTGGATTACGCAGCTGTTCTTGGGAGGCGGGTGCCATTACTGTTCTACGGGGTACACCGCTGTTCCTATCCTGCAAAAAACACTACGGTACCCTCTCCCAGAAGCAAGTAGCACTGTTATGCAATCAAGTGGGCGGGTGAGTATGAACTGACTATTAATATCGAACATGATTAAACACACAATGTGCAAGAACCAAAAAATAAGAAATACAGCCGTTCATGAGTTTGGAGTCGCTTGCAATTATATGGTAGAATGCGTGTTTAGGCCATCGCCATTGGAAAATATGCAAATTTATACAGGATGCACGGATATGTATGTAGCAGATGAAAATTTGCATATTACTATTTTGTCTTCGCTAAGTGAATAAACCCAGACTAGAATGCACGAGGCGAGCCGGTGCCATTATGCTTTTTTGCACTATTTCGTACTGTAGCAAGGTAGCAAGTAATCACAGTATCTGGAATTTATGACATACTGGTCTTTGAATCTAAGGAAGTTAACTGTGTAATTGCGTGGCGTTTCAGTTGTAAATGACGGCAACTACTAAAACTCGGCTCGGCTCGGCACGGCTCGGCTCGGCTCGGCTCGGCCGGTGCGTTT